CAGTGGGTACCGATCTAGGGGGTTATACTCACCCCGCTTACTAATTAAGGGAAAAATTTCATCAGTGAATTTGAGACCAGTGAGATTGAGGAATGGCATTTCAATTTCCAAATCCAGTAATTAAAATGGGGGATACCTTATTTAATTAATCCAACAAAAACTCATTTGTTTTCTAACAAATAATTTTTCCCAAGAGTGAGCTGAACTTCTCTCCATGGAGTGTCCTGGAAAGCAATTTGCCGTAGAATTCGGTAGCAGCAAGACATTTGCGATAAAAACCCTGTGCATATTAACATGCATAGATGTGGGTTTGTGTGTGTGTGTGTGTGTGTGTGCACGTGTGCGCTCACACTCACACCCACGGAACTGAAGCACTCTGCACAGGCTGGACCTAGAAAGGCAGCTCATCTACAGGCTTCCCCTCCTCTAGAATTTCCAAAGAGTTAAATGCCTATTTGATAAACCCATTAGTGAAATATCTCTCTGTCATGGTGGCTGGTGCACTGCAACGTATATACTAGTACTATGGTGTCGTGTAACTTGGAGTAATTTCATGAGCGCTGCCGGGCTCAAGCAAAGTTTAAAAGAGATGAGCTGCTCAGTCATGGAAATAGACCGACGCTGAGGGATGCTTTCATTTAGATATGAGGCATACTGACATTCTGAAATAATGCAATGGACTTGTTAAGGATCTGAGGCAAGTTATCCAGTAAGAGAAAAGGGAACTCTTCTTCTGGATTTATCTTTCCTCTGCACTCAGATTTAGGCCGTTCTAGAGGGAACAGGCAGCACCATTCTGCAGTCTGAAAAAGGAAGAGTGGCTTGCCAAATGGCAAGTGAGGCACGTAACCCATTTTCTGTTACTTCAAATTTTTCAAGAGATTGGCTTTTGCAGCACAAAGGTCAGAGATTTTATCATATTCCCCTTGGAGGGACCTGAGAGTCCTCAAGGGATGGGGGGAGCTCTTGCATCTCCAGTAAGCCAGAGTCCTGGTCCAAAGGTCAATGAGCAGGCCCAACTTGAAGAAACTACAATATTTTGACACCACAGAGACCCTCCTTATCACATGGGGTGTCTGGAACTATAGCATTAAATGACAAGGCAAGGAAACTGGCTGACAGCACACCCCCCAAACACCACCACCAGCAACAACAACAAATGCCTCTTTCATGATGGTCGTATCAGATTGAAACCTGAACAGACGCCACAAGAGTAGATCTACTTTCAAGACAACAAAATACATAGCTTTAGGTTACACAAAACCATACAATCATACATACACACAGTCTTTTTGCTTTGAAAATGAATTATGTAACTCAAACAGAGAAAAGATGCAGATCAAAGATTACATAAGGATCTTACAGAAATTAAACTTGGGATCAAAGGTTAACAACTATGACCCATGGGCCAAATCCAACTATGTTTTTATGAATAAAGTTTTATTGGAACACAGCTACACCCCTTCATTTACGTATTGTCTATACCAGCTTTCATGTTCCAATAGCAGAACTAAGTAGTAGAGCTAGGCCACTGTATGGTGCACAAAGTCTAAAGTCTTTATTATCTGGCCCTTTACAGAAAAGCTTGCTGACCCTTTACAGATCAAAGAATGTTTCTTTCCATCATGACCTGAATGAACTGAAGTAACAGAAGATCATCTTAACCTGTGTTCTTGAACCAGAAAAGTACATTAAAATATTTCCACATCATATTTAGCTACTCAACCATTCTGCTTAGAATCTGTGTAGCCAAAACTTTTAACAACTGTGTTTGTTAGTGTTTGTTAACAAACACAGACAATATTAAAAATCTGTATATAATTGTATTTATGTGTAATATCTATGTAAAGAATGGAAAATATACGAGCTAGAGAATTTGAAGGAAAGGAGACCTAATGAAAAAGAAGAACTCAAAATACGATTACTAGAAACTTGTTATTTGGAACTTAGACATATTTTAGTATATTTTTCTTTATATTAAACAGCACGGGACCATGACCAGGACCCTCAGAAAAGCAAGAACAATTTACAACTGCAGATTTTACCCATGACTTACGTGACAATATTTTTTGAATAGAAAATAACCAGCATTTCTATAAAACATTTTTTGATTATATAAAGAGATATAGCAAAATAAGAATGTTTTTATTTCTAAAGTAAATATTTTAGTCAACGTTGCATCAGAAGTATTTCTTTGACATTTTCCAAGAGACTTTAGTTATTAACTACAATTACAGTTGTTAGTATTATATAGTGACACATTGCTTAAAATATATTATAAACCATTTTTTTCCTCTTTAATTTAAACGAAATATAAAATTAAGGATTTTGTGACATAATTCATACTGGAAAATATTTAAAATGGTATGAATTACTCTTACACAGAAAATGCCAGTGGAATCACACAACGTTCTAATGCTTGAGAGTGCCTGGCACGATGCTCGGCACAGGCCGAGGGACTCCATGTTTGTTCACTCATTCTCTCATTCACTCGTGCATTCTTTCACAGAAATTCAGGCTGAAGGAAAAACTGCGCAACGAGAATGGCAAGCACAGTCTTATCAACAAATCTGTAGCTCGGACAAAGACTTTGGCAAAGGAGAGTGGAGATGAGAAGCCGATGGTCACAGTTCCAAACTGCTTGGTTAAGATCTACCAAGGGCAGCCCAGGGGTGCCTTAGCTGACATCACAAAGAAATGAGGGCCGGACATTTCCACAAAAGGAACACATTCCTCCAATACCCAGGCTTCACTCTTATATACAAATAACTGCTCAAAGACAGGCGTTAAGTGGGTGTCAGACACAAAACAGTACATACATGCAACCCACCAGAAAACAAGAACCCTCTGACTGGGGTCTTATTTTTCTGCAGAGATGACTTTTTGGTTAGGGCTGCATTCGCTTGGCTTAAACAACTTTAGACCGGTTTCAACAAAAAAGTATGACTCTAAAATTGTAAAAGAGAAATGCAGGAAGTAGAGGGGGTGTTCAACACCTCTATTTTTCTTTTCTTTAATGTACCAACTGATCTATCTACTTAGCACATTTGTGCCAAAGGCACAAAGTGAGGTGTCAGCTCTCTGAAGAGGCACCTGGAAAGGAGCATCTGTAGGCTCTTTGTGAAGGTGTTATACATGTAACGAGGATTTTAACCTGAGTAATAGGTCTACAAAATGCAAAGGACGGTAAGGGACTGTAGAAAGTAAATATACTCTTGGAAACTAAGTGGAATATGGGATAAGGGTTGATCCTGCAGGAAATAATTTTTTAAATCTGTTAAAAACAAAACAAAACAAAACAAAACATGACACTGGCAAGTCATTTGTAGCTGACTTTAATTGCCTTTGGTATTCAGAGAAAGAAACAATGGAAACATTGTAAGAAGTGCTAGTCTTCTCTCATCACAGGGAAGCGAGCTGGCGGTGGAGAACACCCATCCTCTGCCCCTCTCAGACTTTTCGCTTGGGGGAGGACTGGCCATGCTCTGGCAACTCTCCGCCCCCTCTTAAGCCCCAGTCAGCCCAGACCTAGAAACCCAGCACTGGCGGGGAGGCGGCTCAGTCTTCTCCTTCCTTGAGAGGCTCCCGGGAGCCCAAGGAGGCCCCTTACTCTGCACACTTCTGAACAAAGTGTGGGTGGGCTCCCCGCCAGGCGCCCAGTGGCTATTTGCTACCTCAAGTTGTTCACACTTTTTAGGGACTCGTAAGTGGACTTGTGCTATTTTTAGGAGGAAGGCCAACACATTTTGAGAAAAAAATACTCTCCCTTTCTAAAGTTAGTCATCTACCCTTCTCATTTAAAAATTTCAGTCTTTCAAATAGTAAAAGATATAATTTAAAAATGTGTGCTAAAATTTAACTCTCTTAAAAACGTAAATAATGCATTGACTCCACATCCTTATTTTATAGATATACTGAGAAAAAGGGGCATTTACCACTTACGGGTCATCTCCTAAATCGTGAGGACTGTTTGACTCTTGGTGGCATAAGATGATCACTCTTAGAAAATAATTATACTAATTTATTAAATCTTTTCTCCAATTTAAATCTACTACATGCTAAAAGGTTACACAGAAAAGCTATCAAAATAAGAAAATATGTCTTCAGAATTCCAAGGTGGGCTTCTTCCCTAAACACTGTTTCATGAAATCTCCAAATTCAGAGTAAATATCAGACTAGTTACACTGCTCCCAACTTTTATTGTCAATGGAAGCTGTTTGTATTAAATGTAAAGAAGAAAAAGTGTCTTGCACCGTGACATAAACTCAAGGGACAGAAAATTTATAAGCATACTTATCTTACAATACAGTTCTGGAAAAAACTTAAGTTCTTCCCCCCCCAAAATAAAGAAATAGTAATTTCTTTAAAAATAAGTATCACTGCAAAATCTATTGATGGTAAGAGAAACTCCCTTAGGTATATCCCGAATTTAGTTAATATGATTATACCACATTTTTTTTCTATTAAAAATTACTTTGAAGCTCTTCTTTGGATTTCTATAAATACCCTTGCAGAAAATAAAAGCTGAATTTTATTTTTTACATAAAGTATTTGTGAAAAGCTCACTCATCTGATAATAAAGGATCCCCTGTTACCGTTCCAGATAGAGCGTTTAAGCAAGTTTCATTGTATTTTGTTTTTTGATTTAATAGGTTGTAAAAGAAATTTGGGTAAATTCAGAGCTGCATAATAGTATGGTGAATTTTGCCAAGCCACGTAAAGTCGTTAAGTTGAGGGATTTTACTAAATTTATAACAACGTTAAAGTGGATAAAGTTCACTTGGTAGATTTGCTGGTTTGGAAAAAAAAAAAAAAAGTCTCCTCCCAACAAAACCAAGGCTTTCTCTTAGAACAGGTTTCAAGGCGACAAACTGTAGCGATTCCCCCACTTTTGGTCATGCTACCAACACTAGACTGATCAACATGCACAAAATCCCAAACCCAGGCTCATAAGTAGTGGTTATGATAAATACCAGTTTCAATGATTCCATATGGAGACAAAGACTTGAAGAGTATTCTTTGTGAGATCGTGCCCCCAGAGAAAATTAAATTTAACCAAGAAATTTCAATGGGATACACTGGGATCTGAAATGGTTGCCAGTCTGGTCGTCCAATGGGGAACTTGAAAACTGAAACAGGGACAGATACTCGGGTTTCTTTTTCCAGTCTTCATTGCTCTCGATGCAGTTCCACCGTTCTTAGTCTGTTCTAGTTCCTTCCATTATTAAAAATGGAGAAAAGGGGGAGAACCGGTAAGTAAAGATTTGATTTGAAAGCTGCTCCGCTTTGGAAGGAACACATTTAGAATTGGTTCCCAAGGCCATTTCTCACTCCCACAAGGTGCTCCACATTCTTGGCTTATTCTTAGGCAGTCCAGACTCCAGACTCCAGGACTCTAAAACAATATAGTAGTAACAGGCAAAATTTCCCTTGTGACCATCTCTTTACGAATCCAAGCAGACCAGGTCTTTGTCTTACACATACCAGAATATGTTTTGGTCAGGTATAAAATGGAATCATTTCAAAGTTGAGATATCTACAAGTTGAAAAGTCCTGTGGGGCACAGTCATGTTTCACCCTGCCATGGTGACTTACGAGGTCCAGGTTTCCCAAAGCCCCCTCTCCAGACTAATTTCTGTAGTGGTCCATGTAAACAAAACACAGGTGAGAATGGTCTTTCTGGAGCTGCTTTCATCGAACAGCAGGATTTCCTGAAAGTGTGGTGTTGGCTAAATGTAACACAGGCAGAGGATGAGCCTCTGTATTGAATACCCAGTGGTCTAAAGGTAAAAGGTCATCATTGGAGAACAGCAGATACAAGTATCTGAAAATAAAAGGGAGAGAAATGAGTTTCAATTAGAGTTCAACAAGATCAAGTGAGCTAGTTACAGCAGCAGAGGAAACCAAAAGCCTATTCTGAAGAGCTCTGAAGAAAAACACATCACAGGATGAAACTCACTCACTCACACGATCTAAAACATAGTAACAACATGTTCTAGAATAGTGAGGTGCATAAGAAAATCCAGTAAGATGCACCCATGGACTGCCGATGTGAGACAGTTTACAAAGTCCACACACCTGTTGGAAGCACATCAGACAGCAAAGCTGTAAGTCGGCTCCCTCGTGAACGAACAAACCACTTTGTGATTTTTCACAGACATTCTTTTAAAAGTCACACATAAGATCAATCATCTACTTTGGCAGCTTACAGAGCTCATAGTACAAGTAGAAGGTGATTAATTCACATTTATTAACAGACACTGAAGGAAATAACTAGCATATTATCTGGACCTAGCAGAGATTTTTATATACTGGTACTTTAGTAGTAGGAGTTTTTGTAGTTTTTCCAGTAGGTAATGCAAACTGTTTAATGAAGGTTTCAGAAACACTATGGATTATAAGAATTTTGTGCTTGCTCTCCATAGGTAATAGCACTGTGTATTTGAAGGCAAGGATTCCCAACCTCCCTATGGGCACTGCAAGCCACGGTGATAGAGCTGACACAAACAATAATTGTTACCTATAATGCTGGGCATATTCCAATCTAAATTCTATTAAAGGGGTCTTTAAGGTGAGCATAAAAAAAACAACTCCAGAGAGTCAGGAAATCTGGGTTCTAACTCCTCATTAGGATTTGAAAAAGAACTCCTTTACAATGATTTTGCTGAAATTCCTTTATCTTAAAAATAGCACATTTATATCTTTTCTGATTACCATTACAGTTCCTAGATGACCGAGTGAAAACAGACAGCATTGAGGCAACGTTGTAACTGGTAAAGCTGGAATGGAGAGTAACAGGGCTTCTAACCTCCCTGACCCTAGATCTTGAGACCTGCTTGACTCGAATTCATTCACCATGTCATGGGCAGAGAAGCTGGAACTGAAAAAAACAGACTTGGCTGGAGGTAGCAAGAGACTGCTGGGTCTACTGTAGGGAGGCCGGAAGCACGAGCTCTTGGAGTTCTGGGCACAAATATATCCGGAAGCGCTATGTTCTGTGCAATCCCATGTTTCTTGGTTAAATATGGGCTGATGGGTCAGGCTTGCTCTAATTTCATCACTTCTTGAAAGAGAAGAGAGAAAATTCAAGTCTCCCACAAAATGATTCCTTTCCATGGGGGATGCTATGGAAGTACCGGATATAAACACAAACATAAAAATTAATAATGAATGTGCAGGCTTTAGATAACAAAAAGGGACATTATTTTGAGTTCTTTAAGGAATATTAGTTTTAAACCATCATTTTAAAAAAGATCCTAATTAAGGGTGCCTGGGTGGCTCAGTCGGTTGATACTCAAGACTCTGTTTTGCCTTGGGTCGTGATCTCGTCCGGGTCAAGGGATTGGGCCCCACGCTGGGCTCTGTGCTCACCACAGTCTGCTTGTCCCTCTCCCTCTGCTCCTCCCCACAGCTCTCTCTCCCTAAAATAATAATAAAAGGAACCTAATTGAATACTACTGTAGTGGGTTGAACAGTGTGCCCGCCTCCCCCATTCACGTCCATCTGGAGCCTCAGAATGTGACCTTATTTAGAGACAGGGTGTTTGAGGATGTCATCAATTATGGATCTTGAGATGAAATCATCCTGGATTTAGGGCCTACCCTAAATCCAGTAACTTGAAATTTGCAGGAGAAAGGAGAGGGAGATTTGGACCCAAAGGCACACAGGGAGAAAGGTCATAAGCAGCCAGAGAAAAGGATTAAAGCTATGCTGCCACAAGAGGGAATGATCTTCAGACTTCAGGTCTCCAGAATCAGGAGAGACTAAATTTCTGTTAGCCATCAAGTTTGTGGTAATTTCTTAAGGCAGCCCGAGGAACTAACACAACGTCCAACCCGACCTCCAGGATACCTCTAGACCTTAAGCACTGCTGCTAGGTCCAAGGGGCCTGGAGCAGGACTAGAGAGCAGGGGTTAGACATATGGGGACACATACATACCATAAATTCCCAGACACACACACACTATGCATACACTCTCTCTCTCTCTCACACACACTCCCATAGAAACACACAGAACCCCCCCACACACTCCCATAGACACAAAGACCACACACTCTCACAAACACATACACACACACTCCCAGACACACAAAGACCACACACACACTCTCTCTCTCTCACACACACACACACACACACACAGACCACACATTCCCAGACACACACACACCACACCCTCACATACACATTCCCAGACACACACACACCACACCCTCACATACACATACCCACAGACACACACAAGACCACACACTCACACACACTCCCGTAGACACATACATACCACAACACACACTCATACACACTCTCACAGACTCCCACAGATACACACACACTCACATAAACACATACCACATACATATTCTCACAAATTTATAACAAAATCAATGTTTGAAATTAAAGTAATATAGCTAAATAACGGTTTTTAATTTTGGATTACACATTCAGAAAAAGATGTAGAGGTATACTATTAGTGATTTAAGACTTTTAACCTGGATTTTAAAAGTAGAACTGGAGAAGTGTGATCTGTGCTGTGAAAGTTGAGAAGTCTAGAGTCTAAATTAGCTACTGCACTACTCATTTTCCCTTTAGTATGAATTTTCTTAAAACTAAGGTTTTAATAGATGACAAGTGGTGCTGACAAAAGCCTATAGGCATATAAAAAGATGCTATTAAGGACCTCAGTCTGAACAGATGTGTAGCTTACTTTTTAGAGCTATTTAAAAATGTTGTTCATATATGTCTCTCTTAGCTTTCTCTCATCTAAAGACAAGGTATTTCAAGGTGGTGATGCCAGGAGTCATCTCAACACAAGTGTTGGTAGTAAATGAACAGGAAGTTTTCAGCAAGAGAAGTCAACCAAATCTGAGGAGAAAAATTTAAGTGTCAACACAGAAATGGTAAGGCTGAAAGAACCAACTGCCAAGTTAACATGTACTTACTTACTTGGGCCTCTATGCTGACTTATCAAACAAGCCTTGGTGACTCATTTATTCTTCTTCACAACTACCAATGGCAATGTCCCGTGTATCACAGAAAGATGTTACAACTCTAAAAAGGTTTGCATTTACATGTATATGTAACTCATTTAAAAAAAAAAACAACTCTTAGATTGTTTGAAAAATAACTTAAAACTTCCATTTCATTTATACTTCTAATGTTTAAACAATGTCTTTGGAACAGACTGGTTAGAAATCAAATTAAATTGAAACGTACTCAGTGGAAATTAAGTTCTAAAAGATGACACACTGGGACACGTGGTTGGCTGCGGTGGTTACGCTTCCGGCTCTGGGTTTTGGCTCAGGTCATGACCTCATGGCTTGTATGATGGAGCCTGCACTGGGCTCCCCGGGCTCCCCACTCAGTGAGGAGTCTGCTTGAAGATTCTCTCCCTCTTCCCTCTCCCCGCCAAATAAATAAATCTTTAAAAAAAAAAGCTGCATTAAAACACACAATTTTAATCTCGCCAAAAGGACCTGCCCCTCTCTGCTTTTCCCCACATCTCCTCTCAAATCTTAAAGTGTTTTTTGTTTTGTTTTGTTTAGGGGAAGAGGTGGGGAAAGAAGAAATCTTAAAACTAATGTGGGTATATTACAAATCGAAATGCAAAATATACATGCATTTTTTTTTTAAAGATAAATTAAGAAAGCAGATACTTCTGATTACTGCAATGGTTTAGGCTTTGTCTTGCGATATAAGGGAGCTGGGAGGGATTCATTTTCCTCTGCCCTTAGGGGCTGAATAAGTTAGGAAGATTTTGCCTGCAGGATACAAGATACCTAAACTACCTGAACAGTGGGTGTTAGCTTCTACAACAAAAGCCCAGAGGTAGATGATAACAAAATCTGGTTTATTTAACAGTAAAACACTATCAGAGCTCTGGGTTTTATAAAGTTTAATAAAATACTAAATTTTTCCTGGTGCCAAAACACCTTATCCTTCCTTCCCTCTTCTTAGCTGGCTGCTTTGAGAAAACGGTCCCTCTGAAATGTACATAAATCTTTTTAAAAGTTGAATAAACTTCTTGCAGGCTGTACAATTTAGTTTCTCCTAGTGGCCTGCTTTTGCAGTGTAATCATCAAGGAAGATGAACCCCAGTGTCCCTATCACTGTGGGACTCTAGCTCAGGTGGCTTTCTCTCTAAAGCTCCTAACTAACCCTTATCAGAGACAGAAGTGTCAGTTGTCCTTTGAATAAAGACAATTGATTAGCACAGATGGTCACCCCAATCACCCCAACGTGAATTTAGAATGAACTATGTATAGCAAATGGTGCCGTGCAGGAACTATTCTTACATATGGACAAGTTACAATTTATCTTCAGAACACGTAAATAAGGGATTGTATCTGCCTGGTTATATGGGAAGGTGAAATTTCTTTCTGTCTTTGCAATCTGCCTGTGATGCAAATTACAGCCTGGTTTCATGCTTATCCAATGATAAAAATGTTTTCTAAAATGTTTTCTTTCTCTGCTATATTCATGGAGAGGATTTTTTGGGTTGGCAGAAGATCTGGTTTCCAATTTTTGCTCCCGTCCTCAGGATCTTCAAGATTTTCTTGACTTTCTTCTCAGAATTAGAAGATGCTCCATACCTTACATCTCCACTCAAGTCCAAAGCAAAAAAGTAAAGGGAGATCTCTCTGCAGGTGTAGGTCTATTCTGATAGTCTAATACATGTGTAGTAAGTAGTATTTCATTGTAGTTGCAATTTATTCTAATCATGTCTAGCATTTTTTTCATGAGCTTACCTGCCATCCTTATATATTCTTTTATGAAGTATCTGTTTAATTCTTTTGCCAGGTTTTAAATTGGGTTGCATATCG